AAAAAATAACAAGAACCGTACAGAACTGAAAACCGTGACCCTAAAACCGTGATACAAACCGAACCGTGGGTTTTGTGAACCGTGCCACCCCTACTTGGGATGTATTTTTTATCATTTTAAAATATATATTCCCTCCACCGCCCCCCGCCCCCCCCACCTTTGCGGGGGGTGCTTTATTTTTAATTTCCATTGTAAAAATGACAATTGCAGACACCCCTGGTGCAAGCCCTCCCATACACTGGAGAGGCCCGAGGCCCCCAGACCCCGACACAACCCAGGCACCCACCCAACCCACCACCAGCGGAGGGGGCTGGACTCCTCCGGGACCACCCGTAACACCCCACTCATTGCGCGGGCCCAGAGAGAGCACAAAGGGCCCCCCTCAAGCCCCTATCGCCCCCCCGCTCTGTGTGTGTCTGTATGGTGTGTACATGTGGGTGTGTATGAATGTGTGTATGAACTGACGTGTGTGCAATTAAAAACTGTGATGCATTAAAAGTGAGGGAGTGATCAGGGCACAAGCTCCCCACTGCTGGCAGACGGCAGAATCCTGCATGCCCCACCCTATTCCCAAAAAAATATATATATACATGGTGTATCAGGACTAGATGGTCAGTATGGATACCGAAGGTGCATTAAAATTGTGTGAGCAGGCAAGGCATGTCACCCCACCGCTGGCAGACGGTATGCTTGGGATGTATTTTTCATATTGGTGAATCATGGCCAAGAGACTGAACGTATTAAGACGAACTCACAGGTGGCCCCGCAACTGGCCACGTCGCCCATGTAGCATAGAATTAAAGAAATTTGTTGAATGTCCCCCTGTCACTGATGATTTGGGAGGCACGACATATTAAATTGGACTGGCAATCAATTTCAACTGTAGGCTTGATAGTTCTGTAGAAATAGGCAGAAATGCAAATGGGGCCACTGTAGCGCCCCCATCTGGCCGAGTGAGTTGTTCTTTACAGGGTTTGCAGAGAGTCAGAGGATGAATGTACCAGCCAAATTTTGGTTTGATTGGTCATTGTTAAGCCTGTCAAATGGCTGCTTGATTTTGATTGGTTAATGGCGGCCAATCTTTTATGATTTATGACTGCCATTGTACGTGTCTGTCCTCAGGCTGGGTCCTAGTATATGTCTGCCAAATTTCAGTTGAATTGGCCAAGGCAGTCAGGAGATTTATAATTTGTAGCGCCCCCTATTGACGAATTGCGGCCCGCTTTGGACAGTGTCCCCAGAATAGTGTAGGGAGGTAGGATTTTAAATTTGGTCAAGGTAGGCCAAGGCACAGCCAAGTTATGGCAGTCAGAACAAAATGTGCCAAATTTGGACATTGTTTGGGCGTGGCTAATGGCCAAAGAATACACAAATATCCGAATTTTTTAAATAATTCTTGATCAGCTCAGAGTTCTGATTCGTTTGACACCTCATTTGTCTGATTTGGTAGGACAAGCTAGGACTTTATGGAAAAAGTAGGATTTGCAAATTATGGAAATTAGCAAAAAATAAGTTGTAGCCTAATAGTTGTAGAGAATATCTGCCTGCATCTGTAGAAAAAATAATTTCGATTGTAGGACCAACAGGACAGGAGATATTGGCCGAAAAGTGCATCTGACCGACTGACTTGGGTCGGAGGGTTTGATTAGCAGATACTGTAGGAATTGACATCTTCCTGCCAAATTTGGTTGACCTGGGTCTTACGGTTTAGGCTGCCCATTCAGTTTTAGGGCAGGAAAATAATAATAATCCTAAGAAAAACAATAATGGTCCAATGCATTTCATGCTTTGGACCCTTAATTAACATTGTACACTCACCTAAAGGATTATTAGGAACACCTGTTCAATTTCTCATTAATGCGATTATCTAATCAACCAATCACATGGCAGTTGCTTCAATGCATTTAGGGGTGTGGTCCTGGTCAAGACAATCTCCTGAACTCCAAACTGAATGTCAGAATGGGAAAGAAAGGTGATTTAAGCAATTTTGAACGTGGCATGGTTGTTGGTGCCAGACGGGTCGGTCTGAGTATTTCACAATCTGCTCACTTACTGGGATTTTCACGCACAACCATTTCTAGGGTTTACAAAGAATGGTGTGCAAAGGGAAAAACATCCAGTATGCGGCAGTCCTGTGGGCGAAAATGCCTTGTTGATGCTAGAGGTCAGAGGAGAATGGGCCGACTGATTCAAGCTGATAGAAGAGCAACTTTGACTGAAATAACCACTCGTTACAACCGAGGTATGCAGCAAAGCATTTGTGAAGCCACAACACGCACAACCTTGAGGCGGATGGGCTACAACAGCAGAAGACCCCACCGGGTACCACTCATCTCCACTACAAATAGGAAAAAGAGGCTACAATTTGCACGAGCTCACCAAAATTGGACAGTTGAAGACTGGAAAAATGTTGCTTGGTCTGATGAGTCTCGATTTCTGTTGAGACATTCAAATGGTAGAGTCAGAATTTGGCGTAAACAGAATGAGAACATGGATCCATCATGCCTTGTTACCACTGTGCAGGCTGGTGGTGGTGGTGTAATGGTGTGGGGGATGTTTTCTTGGCACACTTTAGGCCCCTTAGTGCCATTTGGGCATCGTTTAAATGCCACGGCCTACCTGAGCATTGTTTCTGACCATGTCCATCCCTTTATGACCACCATGTACCCATCCTCTGATGGCTACTTCCAGCAGGATAATGCACCATGTCACAAAGCTCGAATCATTTCAAATTGGTTTCTTGAACATGACAGTGAGTTCACTGTACTACAATGGCCCCCACAGTCACCAGATCTCAACCCAATAGAGCATCTTTGGGATATGGTGGAACGGGAGCTTCGTGCCCTGGATGTGCATCCCACAAATCTCCATCAACTGCAAGATGCTATCCTATCAATATGGGCCAACATTTCTAAAGAATGCTTTCAGCACCTTGTTGAATCAATGCCACGTAGAATTAAGGCAGTTCTGAAGGCGAAAGGGGGTCAAACACCGTATTAGTATGGTGTTCCTAATAATCCTTTAGGTGAGTGTATATGCAGGCTAAAACTTTGTGCGCTGGGAATTGCTGAACCCTAAAGGAAGCCCATTTTCTAGACGGGCTCGTAACATAGCTGCGCTGGGTGGTTGAATTGCTTCAGTTGGTGAAAAACCTTAAAATGTGACTTCAAGGCATTGCATAAATAACATACATTTTCGAAATAGTCTTTTTCTTCTTAATGCTGGCAATCTAGTGTAAGTAATTCTTGGATGACATTAAGGTCAAATGCATCTGCCCCAGCCAAACAGAACAACTGCCCCCAGTTGAAATGGTCTAGAATCGCCACTGTATACACCGTTCCTTGAAGCAGTTAGTAGTTAAGGGCCTTGGTCGGCGGCCTTCCGATCACAGGCAGAGTCCTAACCACTGACTTAATTCAGACCGAAAGTGTGATTAACAGGATTACGATTCCGTCCTACAATAAGCGGATGAAGCGCAATGACAGGACAGGCAAGGCTGGCAATGGCCTGGGGCCCTGAGCTGGGAGGGGGTCCCTGAGGGCGATCGATTACATAGTACATTGCAACGACAAATTTGCTTTATCTGTGTATTCTGTTTTCACACAAGTGAAAATAAAGGTCATGTGTTTATTAAATTCCCTTAGTTGGTATTATTCATTCACAGTTCACAGTAAAAAGAAGGTAATAAATTTTACCATGTCAGGAGATTTTTGCCTAGGGCCCCCAGAGTCCCTAGAATCCCTCTGATCAGGGGCGTAGGAAGCAGGGAGGGACTTGTACCCCCCAATATTTAACTTTGCTTCAGTCGTCCATCCAAAAAAAGAACTTTACATTTAAATTATTAAGTTGTGTTTCAACCCCCAAATAGTAAACTCTCCACTACGCCATTGCCTGCAATAAACCTGAACATCACTCTCCATCCATCCATCCATCCATGGCCCTTCCTCATCATCACAGGGTTTCTCTCCTACACTTGGACACCAGCATCCCCCCCTCCCCAGAAAAACGTTTTTTTTCTGCAGAAAACCGCCGAAGCTATTAAGCCAACATATGTTTTTATTTTTTTTCCCACCCGCGACACTTTGCAATTCCCTCAAGGCGATACGATGTGTAAATCTAAATAAAGCAAAAAGCAGCACGTTTGCGATACCTCGGGACCGGGCGTCGGCGGTAATAGGCGTGAAGTCACACGGTCCATATGGCTCGATAGCAACCCCACGCAGGGTAGGTGTCAAACTCGCTACATCGTTTTTTCCCTCTTATTCATACCACCAATGTAGTAATTAACCAAAATAAAATGACAGAAACGTCACAGCAATTCATTTGCACGTGGAGATATCGCTTATGGATTTCCGGATAGAAGAGAACCAGCGAATTAATAAACATATTTATTATTGCACAAGAAAAAACAAACAAAAAAACATCTGTGGATCAAGTTTCATGTCTGACATTGGAATCGGGAATAGACCTCGCCAGCTTGTTCAATCTAGTCCAACTGGAACCCATAGATGTTGAAGCTGGCTCAGATCAGAGCCTGGATCATCAGTTTCTGAGTTTGTTTATTGACCCAGATAAAGCTGATGTTTGATCCGGGGGCGGTGTTCCACCACAATCTTCATAATTCTCCTGTAGACTAGTAATCACAAAAAACTCTCCTGTTATATTCTAGGGTGGGGTTTTCCTGTGTTTGAGACAGATCCTGCTCAGGCTCCCTCCAGCATCGTCACTGGCAGTGCATACGGAATCTGATGGAAAGGTAGTGGTCCTCCAGGGTCTGGGGAGCACATCACGGTAAGAAAGGAGTCCAGTACGCGGTACAAAAGACATCGAACCTGCTACATCTTTGGTTGAATTCTCTCTCACACGTGAAACGCGCTCATTTCCAGTCAAACACCTTGAAGTTTAGAGCATGTTTCCAACACAAAGATGGCAACAAAAGAAAAATAAGAACCATTCTGCCATATCGTAACAAAACATTTATTTTCCAGCTGAATCTTTGGAATGTAGTAGTCATAAATTAGTCTGGGACATGGTAATTTCGTGATTCTGACCTGGGAGTTGGAGTACAAGGGTTATTTAAAGTTTTAAGGCTTTGCTGTGTATCCCTCTTTTTCTACAACAGCAAATTACAGAAGCAGTATTGAAAATAAAAGCTTTTTTTCTTTTTTTGTAAAAAAAATTTGCACAAAGTCTTTATGACAATACAAAACAAAGCGATAATATACTACCTAAGTGGAAACGTTACTATAGGAAATCTGTTTACCTTTTTCAATAATGAAAACATTTGAATAATTGTACATTTCAGAATTATATCAGATAATCTGAAACCATATAAAATGAAAAAATTGTAACACTGTCTTTTTTTTTTTTTTTTACAAATGATTATTATAAACACATAAACATTTTAAATAGATTCATCAGTGCAATGTAGTTTCTTGTTTTTTGTGACCCTACAGTAATCCGTTTTCGTCTAGCTACCAGACAAGACTGACGGCCTTTTCTACACTCCATTCCGGTATTTTCGTTGGGAATAGGGGTTTATAGGTGTCAAACACAAAAACAAACAAACATAAAACATATCCACAACAACACTCGGGATCTCGTGTCCAATCGCAAAGTGTCTTTTGGGTCTGTAAGGGAGAAAGGCTCTGATTGGTCAGATATTGCCCCCCATTTAGTGTCTGGTAAATGGCAGTGCAGATTTCTGCCAGCATCTGCAATGCACCCTGGGTAATCTAGCCACAAAGCCCCTACGAGGAGTGATTAGAATGGCTGACCAATGGCTTGGTATGTAGTTTTTTTCTCGGGTGCTAAATATATGAACAAATCAATTATTGTCTCCTCAGTCACCGACAGCATGTGTTGGGACTGTCAGATACAGTGTCAGAAGTAAGCTTCCTGGGTGGGGGGGAGGTCTGTCGCTCCCTATGGTCCATAGTGTAATATCACACTGCAAATGTCCCCCCCTCATCTGAAGGGAGATACTTGTTTGGTAAAGACATGAAGCAGTCTACTTGTTAAGTGGTTAAAGCAGAAGGATGAACTGGCTTCTTTGGGGGGGTTGGGGGTGATGTTATGGTGTCCATGCAGTTTCCAGATGCACCCTGCCCGCTGAAATGCTGACACATCCATCAGGTCTAATCTACAGCAATATCTAGAGCACCCTGCTTGTTTTAAAACGTTCTGATTTCCATTTGCTGTGGTGTTAAAGTCAGCCAATGAGTGACTGCCTGGGATTCTCCGGCTTTCGTCCCCATGGGTCAGTCCAGGCGGGGCAGCACTCCACGGATAAAACAGCCCAATGATTCAGCTCTTCAATTTATTTTTTGGTACAAAGACAGGCATTTTGGGCGTCTTCCTCAGTTTTTTTTTTGGCCATGGAATCCAGATGATGACCCTGCACAGAAGATGAGGACGTCCAACTCAGGTACTGGCGAGGTACCGGCCAAACACGGCGTGAGATGCATCTGATATCAGTCCAGAGGTTATTGAGGAGGACCACAGCTACACTTTCTGACAGACGGCTTCCCTCACTTGCTTCCCGGAGGAAAACACTCACTGTGTGAACTGGTATAACAAAACACACGTCTTTCTGTGGCAAAATGGGGCCAGCGAACACTGACCAGGATACCAACCAAAATGCAGACAGCTTCACATCAGCACCTGCTGGGTTTTCCTGCATGTATCAGCGTCATGCAGCCAGAAGGTGCCAGTAGGACCTGTCCATCGGTCCCCCTGGAAAAGAAAGCCAGCTCGAACCCGAGCCGTGACATCTCACTCCAAAAAAAAAAAGGAACAGAAAAATTACCATTCACAAAACGACCAATTATTTACAGAACACAACCCAGGGAAAAGGGGCATGGCAGATTTAAGAAATGATAGCAAAATATATTAAGACTTATGTACAATACGTAGGGTTGTGACGACACTCTAGGGTTTTATATTTTCTTTTGTTTGGCCGATTGACCAGCTTCTTAAACAAAAGCGACGTCCACTCCAAAATAAAAAGAAGCCCACTAGAATGCAGTAAAGGCACTGAAGGGGCCCTAAACGAGTCAAAGCCCTGGCTTGGGGGGTGGGAGGCACCATGTACGGCCCAAGGGGGGGAGGTGGGGGTCTGTGAGTCTACACATTTGTCAGTGTGGTTCATTTTGGGTTTTTATACCTGTCTTTATACAAAAAAATAACAGCTTTGAAATTAAAAAATAATTTCCTTCCAGAAAAAAACGATAAATACTTTAAACATTGTCTCAGTTGGTCTCAACACCAGCATCCGATTGTTAAAATGAAGATTTTTTTTTAACTGAAAAACCCCTAAATTAAAATATCCTCTAACTGTACAGATTTTTTTTCTTCAGTTTTGTACACAGCGCCTCCTACTGAAAGGTTTTGCTCACTGCATCTCCTGAGAAAGGCGTGGCTCAGTCGTAACCTCAAGGCCTTTTGCTGCACATACAGGGGTGACTGGAAAGTTCCCTTCGCTCTTCCTCCAGGGAAGAGGGGCCTTGCCACCCCACCCTCATGCTTCCGAGTAGGAGTTGAGTTTGTCCTTCTTGAGTTTCACCCCATCCACCAGCTCAAAATTGTAGTTCTCCAGCGCCGACAAGTTCCTATCTGACATGGCGCCGTGAGAGCAGGCACAGTAGAGGACGACTCCGCAGATGGCCCCCAGGAAGACGCCCAGGGCGCTCATGGCGATGATAGTAATCAGGATGGGGTCCAGCGTCTTCAGCATGTTCCCTGCTCCGCTGATCTCATTGGCGTCCTCGATGTTGGGGAAGTCGGTGATGTCCACGACTGCAAGGCAGAAGAATGACATTAGACAAACTGGACATATTCCTCTCCTTCTGAAGCTACAGCAGCCTACAGGAGGTGTGTGAGGCCCAGAATACGGCAGGCTGGTTATTCACTAAAGAGTCAGTCATGTGAAATCCCATGTTACAGCCATGAGGTCGATGTGTTTGTTGTATGTAACATTTATTGGTGTTCCTCTCCTGCATGGGTGGAGCCAGACCTTGACCATAGGGGTGGCCAGACTAGACCGAGTGATTTCAATGTGATGGTCACCCCTTAGATCTGTCCCAGTTTAGTGTGTGATGGTCTGAGTATGGGTAGGTAGGACATGGAGGGTCATGACTGGATAATATGGGTGTTGGAGTTTTATATCTAGGTAACCGTGGAGACATACTGATGTTTAAATCGTCGTCTGGTTGCATGGAGTCCGTGGGATCGTCAGGGTCTGTGGAGAAAAGAGAGGAGAGGGTGATGGATGGACTGGGGGAAGATACCCCTGTGTCCCCCCCTTTTGGCCCCTAGCCCTTGGACAGGAGCCCACCTTTGCAGTCATCCATGCTGAGGCCCTCCAGCACCTTGACGTCATCCACTGCGATGTCACCCCAACTCTTCTTCTCCACAACACCCTCGATTATGACCTGGGGGGTGGTGGAAGACACGGTTTGAAGGGGGCAGGTGTTAGAGGTCACACTCTACCGGGAACAGCTGTACAACAGCCAGACCCTGATGCTGCTGTGACTTCTGCGTCTGGCATTTTTTGGAAGCGCTACCAAGCATCTGCTTTGTGATGATCTGCATAAGGCTCAGCCAAATGTGTCAGGTCTTGGTAGGATGCAAATCTTGGATGCGCCGGTGCACAGATTTCTGGGATTAGGCTGAGAGAGGGACTGAGCCCTGCTGCGGGGAATTCTGGGATTAGGCTGAGAATGGGGCTGAGCCCTGGTGCAGAGAATTCTGGGATTAGGTTGAGAGAGGGGTTGAGCCCTGGTGCAGGGAATTCTGGGATTAGGCTGAGAATGGGACTGAGCCCTGGTGCAGAGAATTCTGGGTCAGTACCTGATAGGGCTGGCTGGAGCGGGGCACGAGGACCCGGCCCTCCCTCCAGCGGCTACCCTGGTGCCCGCTGACGGTCCACAGCAGGATATCAGCAGCACCGCTGGCGGACTCCTTACGCTGCTTGATGTGAAGGGTGCCGATATGGGAGCCAAACATGTGGTACCAGAAAGAGATGCACAGGTCTGTATCCCTTGCTGTCACCACCGGGCTCACCAGCCGTGCCACCTCGCTCTCCTGGGCACTGGTGGCCAGGGTATAGATGAAATTTCCTGAGCCTCCTGCAGAGGGCGAGACACACGAGTATTTCCCGCCTGCTGCTTCTAGGGGGTACTGCACCCTGCAGTTACACTCAACCTCCAATCCTCCTCCTGTCATCACTGATTCCACCATACCTGTGTGGTCCATGTTGGGCCCCGTGTTTAGTGTTGGTGTCCCGCTGGACTGAATCTGCCACCTGAAGCTGCTGTCCTTCTCTGATGTCCAACCACAGAAGGTGGGGCTGCCAGCCCAGCCAAAGTCACACGCAAACCAGTGGTAACCTGCGAACCAGAAAGCTCCCCGTTACCTTCACTGAGGACCTCAGGTTTGGAAGCGGCAGGGTAAACAAGTGGCATTAATTCTGGTATCCACTAGATGGCAGCAGAGGCCTATGACCCAACTGAGAAGAAGGACGATGAAGAGATAGCAAGGAGTCAGCTGGAAGGTCTGAGAGACCAATGCTGGCCGAGTGGCCGAATCCTATTAATGATCTCTTTCAGCACACAGAGCCCGAGTCCTGACAAGGTTAAACAAACAAGGTGTGAAAAAGAGATGGCCTGGGTCTTAATAACTCTCCTGCTGCGCTGTGCAGAGGGCGCCATTTCTAACAAGCAGGGCTGTGGGTGGTGAGGGGGCAATCGTTTGTGCGATGGCCTTATACGTCCCTGACCCCGGTGTCCGTATCCACGGATACGTGGAGGAGTGTACGCCTTCAGGGGAACATGATGCTGACCAGGGCGGGATCGTGCTGCCCAAGAAGCAGGAGAGCGCCACCCACTGCCTCGCCGCGAGCTCACTTAATGCGTATCTGTATCTGTAAGGAACGCCACTGTTTTCCCACGGAGGAGGAGAGCCGATATTCAGCTATTAACCCAATATTTTAATTGGTTCCTGCCGGCACTTAAGTGCTTATTCATAAACGCCAGAGGCGGAATAACATCAGGCTCTGAACCGCAATCCTGGCTTGCCGCCATATTTTCCCAGAAAACGCCTGTCACTGATTCTCTCTGGGAGTCTTTGAAGGTGCTGCAGTGATGTAATTCGTGTGTCAAGTCAAGTCAATGTCACGGTATCTTTATAGTCATCTTCAGCTATATGATCCATGGGAGATTTCGATCTCGCTGGTTGTAGTGCAAGAAACCGCAATAAATAGAATATAAATATGCAAGACATTTAACTTTGATACTGAGACATGGATATAAGACCCAAAGACATAAAAACTACAGTTCAAAAAACATATAGTTAAGAAAATATGTATGCATTTGGGCAGTTAGGATTGAGAAATGGACAGGAATGTGCTGTGAAAGATTCTTCGTAACAGTGTTATTCCAGTGCAGAGGTTGTGTGTGTTTGTATATGTCTCACTCTGTATGTGTGTGTGTTTGTATGTCTCACTCCATAGGTATGTGTGTGTTTGTATATGTCTCACTTTGTGTGTGTGTTTTTCTATATGTCTCACTCTATATGTGTGTGTATGTGTGTTTGTATGCATCTTACTCTGTAAGTATGTGTGTGTGTGGTTGTATGTCTCACTCTGTATGCATGTGTATGTTTTTGTATATATCTCATTCTGTATGCATGCGTATGTGTTTGTATGTGTCTCACTCTATGCGTGTGTGTATGTGTCTCACTCTGTATGTGTGTGTGTTTGTATGTGTCTCACTGTATGTATGTCTGTGTGTTTTGTATATATCTCACTCTGTATGTATGTGTGTGTGTGTTTGTATATGTCTTACTCTGTATGTATGAGTGTGTGTTTGTATATATCTCACACTGTGTGTGTTTGTACGTATCTCACTCTGTATGCATGCGTGTGTTTGTCTCACTCGGCATGTGTGTGTTTGTATACATCTCACTCTGTATGCGTGTGTGTTTGTATATGTCTCACTCTGTATGCCTGTGTGTGTTTGTATGTCTCACTCTGTATGCGTGTGTGTTTGTATATGTCTCACTCTGTATGCCTGTGTGTGTTTGTATATATCTCTCTGTATGTGTGTGTGTTTGTATATGTCTCACTCTGTATGTCTGTCTGTATGTATCTCACTCTGTGTGTGTATGTGTATGTTTGTGGGGGGGGTTACTCAATACTAAAAACCCATGGAGCACGCCGACCCCCTCACTTGGAGACGGACCCAGGGACACGTATGATGAGGACGAAGCGAGACATCACACTCCCCCTCCCCACCAATTAACAAAGGTCACTATGGTGACGCCCTTACTTGCTGGGCTCACGCTTGTTAATGTGCAGGCGAGGCTGGCGCTGATTAGTGATTGGAGGGCATGGTGGCACGGGACAAGAGGGGGTACCGATAACAGGTGGTGGAGCTTCATGACAGGCGGATGCACTCCTGCTGTCGGTTTCAACTCTGTTTGTCCTTTGTTTATTTGTAGTTTATCTGTATTATTCATATGATATGTTTGTGATATTCTACAAATATTATGTCACAAGGCGGCAATAGGAGAATCGTACAGTTGAAAAGCTGAAGAGAGTTAAGGAATAGAGAATGATAGAGAGAGGGAGATTGGTGGAGAGAGCAGGTGAGTGAGGATGGCTCTCTTACCGGCAACGGTGTGCACCTCCGTGGTGGTCTCCGTCACCGTGGAAACACCTGCCAAGCACAGAGGAAATAGTGTTACGGCGATCCCAGGCCACTTCAGTGCGGGCAGGTGCATTGCCGTGGGAGTGTGAAATCATTCAGAAGCATTTAGGAGAAAAGCGGAATCATGGCGGGGGAATGGCTAACCCTGTGGCCAAGGTCCGATTCACGCCTGCAGTCTTGGACTTGTGAGGCACTTACTGCTTCAATAATAATGACGATATTACTACTACTAATAATAATAATAATAATCATTATTATTATATCTAATAATTATCATTATTATTACCCATCTATCCATGTTCTAACTGCTTAGTCTGGTCATGGCTGAGGGGGAATAATAATTAGGGTTATAATAACTATAATTATTACAGTGCAGAAAAACAAGAGGTGAGATCGTAAACAAACAGGCAGCTCTGCTCATACTAGCTGGAGACGCAAAGGGGGGCCCGAGGGAGTGTCAGGTGAGGGGGGGGGGGCTATGTAGGTGATGTTAGCACCTGTCGTGTCGTAGTCATCACCTGTGCCACTGTGACAGCCGGCCTGCTCATCGTCACACTCGTCAGAGGTGGCAGTGGAGGCGGCGGGTGAGGTGGGAGGGGCCGTGGGCTCTGTGGGAGGGGGAGCAGGAGGAGGAAATGCGTGAGTGGGCACACATGTGCACACACACACGCAGAAACACACACACATGCATGCACATAAACACACACACACACACACACACTCATGCACGCACAACTATGACAACCTTAACCCCTACCCAGCCCTAACCATACCCATAAGTAACCAAGTTTTTGCATTTTTAGTTTTTTCATTGCAGTCACAGATTTTTATTAAACTGGTCCCCATAAGGGAAAAAAAACAGGTATTTGTCACGTCGTAGGGACATTGTGTCCCCATAAGGTAAGGTATACCCGCTCACACACACACATGCACACACACATACGTACACACACACACACATACGTACACACACATACACACGCACACACATACACACGCACACACATACACACACACACACACGCACACACACACACACACACACACACACACACACACATTTATAGCTCCACCCACTGGCCACTGATACTGGCTCATATTAGGAAGCCACCAACATCTGCTGTTTTGTAGGGGCTATAAAAATAGCAGCGCCGCCCGCCCCACTGGGCTGGGCCCTCTCATTATACCCCCGCTTACCATCTATGGACGGTACCCCACTGCCCATCCGAGAGCACTTAGCATGCTCTGCTCTTCCAAGCTCTAAGAGAGAGTTAAGCTGGGGGGTGGATTTCCAGAGGTCAGACTGTCACCACAGCAGTGCATGTCACCCTTAAATGTGGGGGCGGAGCTAAAGCCCTTGTGGGACCCAGGGCCTGAAGGGGGCACCGGGATGGGCGGGCACTCACCCGGGATGGAGCAGCCCAGCAGCTCGAGCCGAAGCCCCATGCCGGCTGCGGCGGCCCTCTCCGGGTAAATCCGCAGGAAGCGCGTCAGCAGGGGCTCCAGCATGCGCAGCTCTGGCGTGTCATAGTTCTGGTTCCCCTCAAAGATCTGCAGGGGGGTACGGAGAGAGGGAGGGGGGCAGAGTCCTTAGTCAGCATCTGAGGGTGTACTCACACTTGTCCCAGTTGTATTGTATCGTGCCCAAGCACGACTGCCCCCCTCCCCACTCCCCCGCTGGTCTGCACTTACAGGTTCCGGGCCTGAGCATGCTTTCATCATCACTGTACGATATTTTTGTGTTGAAGAAAATATACCAAGGAAAGCACTGTGGCATAGCACAATAGAATTCATGATTTATGTCCTTATTTTGCGGCTTATTTGCAGTCGTTTTGGGCATGATGACAGACACAAATTTATCAAATATGCAACGCAATGATTTTTATTTATTCATGCTACACATACTAGAAGATAGTCCCACATTTTACCAAATATCTTAGAGTTTGTGCAGACTAGTGCTGCAGGGGATACTGGTACAGAAATGGTACCATTGTAGCGCATTTTTGGAAGCTGTTCGGTATTACATTCCTTTAGTACTGGTACTAATCATACTCTTACAGGCATCTCAAACACTATATATCGCTAACCATCAAATCAGAATGATGGACTCAATATGTCTGAACCACTGCCGAAACTCAATTATATCCTATGTCAGAAGTGCAGGCATCATGCTGTGTAGAATACATAGAATACTGAAATATAACCTAGTTAAATATGATCTCCCTATATTCAAGCCAGTGATTTATGTAAGGGATCTTATAATATAGCAAGATCTTATAATATAGCAAAGAGGTTACATAGACATCATCAAACTAGAATCAGTAACTACAGGTTATTCTGATATGCTGTGTTCTGCAGAGACCAGCAAAGTAGTTTTGTGGATAAAAAATGATGCAATCTATGCAGTCTACCTGATCAGTTCCTTCTGGGTAAGATTCATGTATAGTGCAAATGCATGTGTCAGTCACATCATTCACATTATCTCTGTGTTCCGTGTTCAGGAACGGTTAGTGATCACACTATGCACACCGTGCCAAAGTGCTATTAATCGTACTCTGGCCCAGCTCTTCAAGCACGCCAGGGCACGGTTAAGTGTAGTGTGCCCGGTCATGGTATAGAGCAGGGGTCACCAACATGGTACCACAAGAGTCGCCCACGGACCTGTTCTAAAAATAGCACCAGGCTCACCAGTGAGCGGTGTCTAAAATTTACTAGTGATCACACTTAGTCAAACAAACTGGACTTTGGGGCTCAAAGCCTGGCATAGTATGAATTGGCTAATGTGAGTACATCCTGAGAGTCTGGGGGGGGGGGGGGGGGGGGGGGGGGGGGGGTGGATCCTGTTGTCACGGATTGCTGATGATGCCCTATGTGTGGAGGGGGTCAGTAAAAACAGGTCAGGCTATGTAGAACCCCCAAAAATTACATCCCAAAAACCACCAGTGTGGGCAGGAACACTGGGCTTCATGGCCTTTAGTGCCTGGACACCGAGGGCAGAAAGCTGACTTCATTAGTGGGGGGTTGTTAAAAAAAAGAGCAAACAAAGGTAGGGGGTGTCTCAGTTTCACTCATTCATAAATCACATGTTAGAGCACCCAGTGATTTCTGCTGGGAAAACGCCTCAGTGTGGATGCGTTTTGGAGACCCCAGTACTGGTTCCCATCCTGTCCACTCAGTTAGAAACTGCTTCCTTCTCAAATATTTAGTGGGCGTTGATCTCACCTCTCAGCCATCACTTCGTTGCTGAAGCTCAGGACCCAAACCAGACCTAAAGGGACAGCCTGACTGCTAAGCTAACATCGAGTTGGGAATTGCGAGGTGCCCGGATCATGTGAGATCTCACACATGTCCTTCATCTTCCCGCTCAGCGCCTGCGTCTGATTCAACCTCCCAGACTGGGACCAGCCGTCGCCCCAGGCAGCGTTTTTCCCAAACAGCTTAAAATAAACGCCAATCTGCTCTCCACTGAGCTGCCCCAAAGCTTTAGGCACGTGACGGTCTTATCTATGGCCGATGCAATCCACCGATGCTCACGAAATTAGTAATGACTGTTTATCGCACAAGCCATTATTTTCCATTATGTGACATGGTGAGTCAGGCAAAGTGAGACTCGTTCGCGTCGATAATTAGAGATAAGACTTGTTAAAAGTTCTCTCAGATTCAATTTAAAAAATTAATCTATTTAAAATGCTGTTCTAATAGGGGGTGGGGGAACTGTGTAGCTGAGCGAGGACATTAAGGAATGAAGAGGCTTCATAATTTTCTTTGTGCCCACAATAATTTAAATGCATGGGAAAGAGAATCAGCACACCCTCTGGTAGTCTCATAACACTGCATCCTATGTAGTCATAGCCAAATGAAGCTTCATGGACTGTTTTCTGTATTTTTTTTGACCCCACTAGATGGCGCTCTTGGTTTGTTTTGGGGCATTCTTTGAGCCATTTTTCGAGTAGAGAGCACCATCTAGTGGTGTCAGAAAATACAGCAAATGGTTCATGAAGCTTCATTTGGCCATCACTACTGATCTGCAGCCTTTGCATAGCACGTAGGTCTCTTAAACTCTGCATATATTACAATTTCCTTTGAAGTAAAGTGTTCAGTTTGTGTGTCAAGATGTTTAAGGGAAACCGCCAGCTAAATCCTGGCTGCCAGTGGCCAAACCAAGACAGAGGTCTGTTTATTTTGGTAAAAGCGCTGTTAAGGTTGTCTATGAATTATAGCAAACATAAAGACCATCTATGAAAGAAATATATACATTTGGATAGGGAGGATGAGTCCCTGGCACAGCATGTCGGTCCAGCTCACCTTAGGTTTTCCAGTCCCGCTGGCATTTTGGATCATCTTCCAGTCGGATCCGTTATTGCTGTAGCCCACCCGGAATTTGCGGACGAACACCTTGTTGTCACGGTGCTTGCCGCCCTGGATGATGAGGCCTCTCAGCAGCTTCTCCTGGCCCAGGTCCACCTGCAGCCACTCGTTGACGTAGGGCTGGGCCTGTGGTGGCAGAGTCCATGCCGAGCGGCCAATCAGCAGACGGGCGTTCTCTGACACCCAAGTGCGTTCCATGTGGGAGGAAGCTGTGATCTGACCATCAGAGATCATGCCAGACACCATTCCCAGCATGCCCAAGCAGGGGTACTCTGCATGGGGGACAGCAGAAGAGGGAGACGACGTCAGCTGCAAAGGATCCTCCCTGAAAACAGTCTAAAAATGTTACGAGGACACTCTGAAAAAGTCCATGTTTTCAGCGTTAGAGGAAATGTGCATCGTTAGCTGAGGCTGGATTGTATAAATGCACCACCTGACCCGTCCCTCTGCTGAGCCGCTGTTCAATAATGTCTTCATATCCTTGCAAACAACAATTGGAGTGTGAAGGTGAACAAATGTTTTGTTGCAGTCCAGGACCTGGACGGCGTGTGCTTAGACCTTCCTTGGGAACACTGGGTGTTCACGCTGCACAGGATGTTAACAGCAAGGCTCACGCCCCCACAGGAAAACCGCAGGGATTTAATGCGACTGTAGGGAAAGAGAGCAGCAAGCTGAAGACAGGAACTGTCCCTATCTCTAGGTTTCATGCCAGCTCTGTGTTTCCCGTGTCAGTGTCGGAGATGGCATGTTCTCTGGCCCTGCCACCTCAATCAGTGTCTCCTAATGCCTTGCATGCTAATTTTTATGGCCTGCAGCATTTCTCAGAAAGTCTCTCCACTTCCAGAACAGTGCTCAGCTCCAAGCTGTACCCGACCTTCTGTCTCTTCACCTTCTTTATGCTTCTTGTCTTGTACAAAAAGGATCCCCCCTAACCAGAGGATTATTAATTCCACATTTGATGCCTGCAGCACCGTAACCAGCAGCATACAGAGACAAGCTGTCTGCATCCTGGAGGCTCCATTGTAAACACTTAATCAAATAAGTAATATTGTTTTTATGATGTACTTCTGTGGATGGAATATAAACTTTTTTTGCCAGGTAGAAACCTGGTAATATTTATGGTTAGTTATAATATAAAATGTGAGCTGTCCAATAAGGGAAATGTATTTCTTTATTTCAATACATAAATCTCATCTGTGTATCTGTGATGAAAAATTGCCCCTCTGTGACAGCGCAGTAACACAGTGAGACCGTGACTGTCTCAAACCAGAATTTCATGGCCTTGGAAAACCAGCGCCTATGTAAGGTTTTCCTTCACCTTTGGCTGTCACATTTTTATCAGAATCTGCTAGGAAACACTGCAAACCAGTTGCCTTTTTACATCCAGGTGAAAGAATGGCTTATTTTCTGAAATCAAGGGGGCTGAAAATGAAAGCGTGCTGTGAAGACTGACCCAGCAAACCCTCTGAGATGTGGGAGCAGCATTCAGGCCGAGAGGCACATTTACCGATTAAAATAATCCATACGGTATCGCTGCTGCTTCTGCCTCTCAGAATGCCTGACTGTTTCTCTCCCTGGAGGCCTCAGTACTACAGCAGTGGTCCAATTCCCTCAGTGGGATGTGTCACTTGAATACCCTACTAACATCCCTGTATATCAGTTTACACTGGATCATAACCCAAAAGTAAAATAGATGCAAGCGGCCTGGCTTCAGGATTACACACTGCCATTTGGTGTAAACGACTAAGGGAGAGCGGAAGTGCTGGGGCATCTCTTCCTCGGGGGTATCTTCAGATTCCGTGCTTGCGGGTGCCATGCTAGCCATGCAGAGAGGTGATGTTGCATGGACAGCATGACCACAACTGGTGGCCTCTGTAGGGCCGGCCGCCCCCTCAAACACGGATGCTGGAGTTGCCTGCCGAAGGGCAGCACCTCGCCCCCACAGATGCAGCAGGGTCGGCAGTCACAAACAACAGCTTCGAAATAGCGGAGCGGCAAGATGAAGCCACAAGTGATCAAAACGGCCCGTTACTGAGGGACGGGGTGCGTGGGGGGAGAAATTAATGCAAACGAGCGAGTGAAGACCGGTTAGAGGAGCAGGCAGTACTCAGCAAGAGATCATTGAATCATTCCTGCTTTTAGTGGCATTCAGTCTAAATGATTTTGGAAACATCAGGTACTATAAATAAATAATAAACTTCATGTAAGAGTCATCAGTGTACTTGGACATTGTTCTAATGAGATCTTTTCACAGCTAGCAATTAAAGGACAATGTGAATTCGCCCTACTCAATGTAACCCAATGTTAGCCTAGGCCTTGGCCAGGACTCACCTGAGATCTTACATCCATACAGCTCGAACCGAAGGGCGATGCCGCCCTCCCAGCTCACGGCCCTGATCCGGATGAAGCGGGTCAGCGTGGGCTTGGGCAGCTCTGCTATCACCACATCGGACGGGTTGGTGTTGCCCAGGAAGATCTGAGATGCAGACAAACAAGAGTGAAAAAGACGCTGATTATTTGTGATTACTCAAAGAATGGCTGACATACAGGCCAGTCGGTCCAGCTACAAAGATGAACACCCAAGTACTGCTTGCTCGCCAGTCCACTCTGTTAAAAACTGCTTTCCTCCCAAATATTTAGCAGGTACCTTCTACCCCCCAGACATAAATGCACCATTTTTCATTCTGATGAAATGCCAGTCAGTACCCACTAACACTTGACACATTCCTCCTTGTGTCCCATTAGCAACGGCAGCTAATTTGTTTTGTATTGACATACTGCTTGTGGCATTCCATACTGCTCAGAACTAGGTGGCTTTCTCTCTATGGGACTGGCCCTTGAGCCAGTTATTACCAAAATAAGGTCATGGTTATGCTGAATGAGGCCCAGGTTGGGACATAAAGCTGGATGCATAAGACAGGTGTGGAGAAACATTAGCACTGTCACTGGCTACAGTTAAGGGTCTTCACTTGCATGTAAGAGGGAAATTAATAATAGGTTTCCCAATTCCCACATGTCCTGCTGATGCTCCACTTTGCTGCTAACCGTTAAAAGGCCTTTCAGAGCAAACTGCGCGATCAGCACCGGCTAAAAGGACCCTCTCTCTGCACAGAAGCACTTAAGAGCTTCAGAATCGGAGAGAACCTCAACGTCACCCCGCAGCCTTGCCTTTAAAGACAGACGTCACTCCAGGGAGGTTACAGCAGAGGGCCTGGGGTACACAGGACTCACAGGCTAGCATGTGGGCAATGAGGTTAGCTTGTCGGCTGTGTATATGAGCTCTCCATGTGGCTGCGAACACACAAACACTCCCTTTTTAACTAAGCTGACCGGCAGGTTCACTTGGGGTTGGGAATGATTTTTCTCAACAAAGACTGGTGAAGAGATCAGCCGTTTAACTATGACAATCTAATGGGGGGCAAATCTGTTTACTCCCATCCCATTCAGCTATGTGACTGGGTTTTTTTTTTTTTTTTTTTTATAGTTCCTTATAGCCCCCATCACAGACCCAACCAAATGGGGTCATATCGGTGGATGCAATGCAAATTACATCACTGCTCACAAAAAAGTGGGCCGCTCACTGCGGTTGTTTTATAGTGCCCAAAAATACTCTCCCTCATACACAGTGACGCACCATGCTTCGTACAGAGAGCTGGGGGGGGGGGCAACACGTTGCTGTGACTCATCCCTTCTCTGGGTAGCCCAGCTCCTGCTGCGAAGAAGATCTGAGATCTGAGCCCCACCTCCGCTGTGCATGGCACGCCGAGAGGAGTAACTCCCCATTTGCCTCGGGCGCAAATATTCTGAAGTTTACAGCAATCAAAGAAAACCTGGTTAAAATGGCAACCTGGTGGTGCTGACCTCCCTAACTGCTCTAAGGAGAAGATGGTCCTACCTTGTGCTTGGAGTCCTCCTTCAACATGATCCAGTCCTCGCCGTTGGAGCTCACTTCCACCTTGTACGACTTCACATAGTATGACTTATTGGTTTCCTGGGAAATGGCTCCCTGTGTCCCGATCGCCGAAACGATGCGGATAAATCCGAGATCCACCTGGGAAGACAGAAGTGCAACACACACACAAAAAATGAGGACACATATTGAAAGAAAAGTGTGGTATTGAAGTCTTGGCTCATATTTTATTAAGCAAAAGTAGTACAACAGAGTGATAATGAAAAGAAATATAATAATCATCACGGAAAAGACAAAAGACAGAATCTTAATTTCCTGCAATGGGAGACAAGGGCTTATTGGATCGAGTGGGATAATGAATAAAGAGAATTGTAAAGAAACAATTAATTAATGCACAAAAACATGAACAAAGATGTACACCCCCTATATCACTCAGAAAGACCTTGTGAAGCAATCACACTCTATAGTTTCATGATCCAATTGGATGCTGATGGAAGGATGAGCTGAGGATGGTTCTGAGCTGCCCTTTGGTGAAGGCCCTGAACAGACAGCTGGGTCCTGGGTCCCGGTCAGGCTGGTGTTTACCACCACTCAATTCATATATTTGCATGGCGCTGCTTTGGTCTAGAGGCCCCCTGTTGGCCACAAACAGTCACTACAGAAGGGAGGTGGGTGGGGGGGAATCGAAATTACTGTTTGAGTGGAGCCTTCGGAACAACAAATCTGCCCTTGGTCCTGCTCTGGTGCCCAAGCTGGCCCCATCTTACTGGCACAGGGTACTCATGCTATTGCCCCAGGGTGTGGCAATGAGTACTCATGCTTATGCTCCAGGGTGTGGTAATGAGTACTCATGCTTATGCTCCCGGTGTGGCAATAAGTACTCATACTTATGCCCCAGGGTGTGGTAATGAGTATTCATGCTTATGCCCCAGGGTGTGGTAATGAGTACTCATGCTTATGCTCCAGGGTGTGGTAATGAGTACTCATGCTTATGCTCCAGGGTGTGGTAATGAGTACTCATGCTTATGCTCCAGGGTGTGGCAATGAGTACTCATGCTTATGCTCCAGGGTGTGGCACAGGAGTTTCTTCCTTCCCAGCAACCTCAATCCGGGGCTCCTTTCTATGTCTCTCTTTCTGTCACACTCTGTTTCTCCTGCTTCCTCCCTCTTTCCATCTCTTTAACTTCCTTCACAATTTTTTACTCTTGGAAGCTGTGATCCGATCAGGGATTTCCCTCTCCACCCCCCCCCCCCCACCCCACCGCCACCCATGTGACCTCTCCCTTGGCCTGTTTATGGAAAAAGTCAGAAACGCTTAGCGAAAAGTGTCATCTGTAGCTGCGTGTAGAAAAGCTGCTCACTGCCGGGGACGAAAGAAACACGGTGGCTGAGTGACGGAGAGAGTATGCAAATGGCTGCGAATGGAGTGCGGACTGCGAGGGTTTAATGGCTGTTAGAGGCAGTTGATGATGGCATTAATATGCTGTAATACAATTGAAGGCAAACAGACTCAATCAAATTTAGATTTGGGGCAGCAAATAATGCCTTTGGAGAGAACCATTTGAAGAATGCCTCTGAGGTAATTCTGAGGCAAACCAGAAAACTGACGGATGATCCAGAGCTGCTGGAGATAAATAAATCAAAGCCGGGGTGGGGGGGGACCAGGCTAGCTGCACACCAGGGGGCGCCGAACGATGGAAACTGCATGCGGCTCAGATAATCCAAAATCCGAAGCAGCTTGGAGATAATAAATGTAACCGTTAAATTAGGGTAATGAAGATAACTGGCTAATTAGCATAGGCAGCCTGGAGGGACGTGGTCGTTATCGTGTAGCTCTTGCAAAATAGTGTTGCACTTTTCATCGTGAAGAGAAGCATCAAAATGGCAGGCCGTGAAAACTCCATGGACTGTTCGAGATAAATATCAAAAGGCTCTGAGTTATTTTTTTTTTGTCACGAATTTACATGCATTTTCTCATTTTCTTATTCATGGTGAAAAATATCTCTGCGTTTGTGGTGTTTTTGTGACATCAAGAAGAAAAAGCAAGATGGCAGCCGGGAAATAGACCGTCGAAGTGACAAAATGTGAACCGTTCCACTCGTTGCCAGCTTGGAACAACTGACAGCAAGGAATACTGAACTGATGATTCTGGCTGTGACACCTTGAACCAATGACAATTTGGATTACTGAAATGATGATTCTGGCTGGTACACCTTGGGCCAATGACAGTGAGGCTTAGTGAACTGATGGTTCTGGCTGTGGCAACTCAGACCAGAGACTGGGAAACTTACTGACGTGATTCAGGATGTGACAGCTTGGACTTGGAAGCATTCTGCATAACAATTAGACCTGTTAAGCCATGTAATTCAAGGCCGCTGTAGCTAATCTCAAATTTGTTCACTCCGCTGCACCTTTCTGTTGATGCTGAGATGTCTACCTGCTTTCAAAGTGCCTCGGTTTTGAGAAATCACCACTGACAGACACGCTGAGCACCCACACCATCGTCCTATCTGGAGCTAAGTGTCTTGTGTTTCATCCACTCAAAAGGAGGATTTTTGCATTTGTGGTCCAGCAGAACATACTAATTTAGAATCTGGCTAAAGAGAAGATCTCCCATTAAATAAAGGCAAAGTTTGGACCAGATTACCTTCATGGTTGTTACATCATGAGCTAATAAAAATAATAAAGAAACATGCGTGGCATATTTCTGCATATCTGTCTTGCCCACTAGGGGGCGTAGTGCTCACAGGCAGGGTAGAGGGGTCAAAGCACACTGCGATTACCACCAAGTTCATCCCAGGAAAAAGGACAGGGAGCTGTTGGGATGTAGGCTTTGTCACAGGCGGCTTGCGAGACGCAGCTAGCCAAGGCCACCACCACTGTCGACGTAAACGGGGAAGACAGGTTCCGCCAATCGCATCGACATATTGATGAAACTGGCTTCCCATCAAAACTCCCAAGCAGGAGACTCATTCATCTTAATGGCCACTTTAAGCTGGGGCCAGGATGCTTGTGGAATGCAAAGTGAACATGCGTTGAACTTAGATGCTGACACTACGGCTGTTTTGTAAATGTTTTGGGAACATTGCCCAAGCAGTAGCGTATTATACAGCACAATCAGTCTGCTTCTGAACTGCGCCATGCACATACAGCCCGGCTCCCTCCATCTGCACGTAAGACACCATTAAAGTCGCATCGCTCGTCATCTCGAGCTCTAGTTTGGCATCCCTGGCACCTCCGGCGTTCTCCCGGCTCCTACCGATGGAATTTCCAGGAGATTTCCACTTCCGCCCGGCTCTGCGGCGGCGAGCATTTAAAATACCATGCTTCATTGCTGGTGCCGTGTACTGGCGGGAGCAATTACCGGAACGCCAGGCAGCAGAGCAGGAATCGGCCGCTGCTGCCATCCTCGCAGGCTAGCCGCAAGGCACAGGTGTGTGATCAGAGCCACGGGCCCGGTGCTAATGGCGCCGCTGTGTGGCTGCTTCGCCTAAACCCGGCAGCTTTCGAAAGTTTCAGTGAGCGAGTCTCCACAAGCGGGGTGGCTTGTGTGGGCTGTATGATGCTTTGCAACGGCTCGAGGGACGATGATGCTAATTCCCGCTGTTCACAACCTTTCCCAAAACTTAGCCACGGGAGGTTTGGAAATAACGTTTCCCAGCATTCCTCAAAGTTTTCCGACCGTGGGGGGAAAGCAGCTGTCCAGGTTTTCATGTGTGGGCTGGATAGTAAAACTGAGGGTCCGGGGCATTAATATTCCATGGATTTTCTACATCTCGCTTTCTCAGAAAACAAAACAAAACAAAACAAAACAAAAAGATGAGCAATCGCTCTGCAATTCAAATGCAAGCATCACCTGGCAACAGTTGATTGTGCCACGACCCTGATGCTGACCCCCCCCCCCCCCCCCCCCCCCCCCCCCCCCGCCCCCCCATGCTGCTACCTAATAAACCAAACAATGTTGGTGGGGAGGGGGTGGGTCACGAAACCGTCGTTTCATCTGTCAACTGAAGCAGCTGCCTCTAATTTTATGTATTTCACCTGGCTGTTATTCACGTTCTAAAAATTCCATTAACTAAAGGTATAATTAATTCCCTTTCATGAAAGCTGTATTACTTGATGCCGAGAGACGCCAGTGCCGTTCCCAACCTCTAATTCATCACCCGGCTTACCTGGCAGAATTACCGCAGTATTTTTAGCCGCCCGCTCCTGTACGAGACATCAAATTATACACAACTTTTCCGAACGGCGATAATCTCTTTTCTTGGCTGGGTGAGAGTGATCCGAAGCAAACAGAGGCAGCGTGGGTGTGAGGATGGTGGATAAAAGGACCTGGGAACGGAATGCCGGGACGGACACGAGTCCCCGGTGGAAGGACGTGGTGTGACGGGCGCCGCATTGTGTTTCCGGTCGCGTCGGATAATCTCTCTGAGCCACCCGTGGTGGATTTTGGGAGATGGCAGAAACGAAAAATCTCCCCGCTGCAAAAGCGTCCTACTGAACCTGAGAGACCCTGTTTGGAGTGCGGGTCAGACCCACCGTGGAGAGGAGCTCGTATCCCGCAAGTGGCGGCCAAGCCCATGGAACTTGGGGTTTGCCGGCGAGAAGCCGATGTTAATTAGAGGCCTGTACTCTAATTAGTCAGTGCCTGGCACTGCTGGGTACGATTCGATAACAGCAGAGAGAGGGACACCGCTGCACCCCGCCGACCACGGCTAATTGAAAAAGCGTTTGGACGTCGGGACATCAGGATACTGGTTATTCCGGCCGAGTGCGACTTCCCTCCCGGATACAGGGTGCGGGTGTTAATTAGTGCACAGAGGACCATTTCGGTGGGCTTTTTAAACATTGGGAACGGTTTGATCAGCTAGATCAGGGAAAGGTGCGCAGGTGACAGAAATCCCCACACCGCCATTTACATCTCAGCCGTAATAAGTCTACATGCGAGCCATTCCTGTCAAAAGACTCGGCTCTTCATCAGGAGCCGCCATTTTGTCATTGTGCGTTTATTAATAATTTGACTAAAAGGATGACCAAGAAGAACCCCCCCCCCTCCTTCACTCTGGCTACCCACAATGCTTAGCATGCTCCTAATACTGATCAAAACAGAAAGATGGTATGGTGACATACAACAAGGAACGAACGCTAATATATCAACGCAGCAGGATTTATGAAAATGGCAGCCACTTCGTAAATAAATTATATGTGCGCGGAAAGCAATTATTATAAAGGCCATGGAAGATGCAGCTCAGGGGTTACCCGTATCTCACTGTTATATGGCAGAGGGCAAAAGTGCTTTTAAGTATCGACAGCTGACTTTTTCAGACTAGATGCATAATTCATGCCTCATCCGTGATCAATGGTCGCTGTCTGAGCGAATATGATTGGCTTAAGATCCCCTTTCTTTTTTCGCATCCCGCATGTCGTCATGGCGTTCTGCGGCCGTGGCCCCCCACCTCATCGTCGGACCTCTTCCTCCCAGTGCGGGAATTATTCATGACGTCCCGCGGGGAGTGGGGGGGTGGGTGCCGCGATGCTCGAGGAGGGCTCCTCATTTTCGGATTTCTACTCTCCTCCATCAATCCGGGCAGAGGCACCTAAATTGCTGCACGATCATTCGAGCAAGAAGGTTTTCTGTCATTAGGGGGCTGGCTTCATAAAGACGCTGCAGGCGGGGTGGGGGGGTGGTGGGCGAATGGGCTCTCCCGCCGACCTCACTTCAGCGGCAATGCAGCGCAGAGCCTGTAGCAGCTGCAGGATGGGTCTGAAGGCCCCAAACGTCAGCCTCGACTCAAACCCCCACGGTTCGTTCGGGAAGGATCCTCAGCAGGTAACCCATCCTGCTGTCACACGCCTGACAAAAGACTTCCTGGACAAGCCATTGAATAAAACTGAGTATAAAATTCTGGCAAAAAAGATGGACCCTCCCAGGCAGCATAGATGCCCACAAAACCACCCGCTCGGAAATTAACAAGATAATAAGATGAATTTATCAGGGGGTCCAACAGACGACATAATTGGCGCGCCTTCACCATCCCAGGTTGTTTTGCGTCGCTTGAATGTGCTTAAACAGAACGGAGCAGAGAATTTGATTCTTTAATAACACTTGTTGTAATTAAGCGGCTTAATGAGCTCGGGCCATGCAGAGACGACTCTATGGGTCATAAATTAAACATCGATGGCAGGGTCCTTTCACGCTCCCCTGGAAACAGATGCGAACTTTGACATTTGATTGGCTGAGTGAAATTCCAATACTTATCAGACCACGACCGGAGACAGGAGATCGGTGCCTTTTTTTTTTAAGTTGCTGCCAGTTTCCTGACAAAAAAACCCTGTATGGAGTGGCATTGACTACAGATGTACATGCATCACCTTTACTCGGCGGGGCGGCAGTCTGTTTAAGGACACATTAATACCGGAAATAGACAAACAGGATTAACAAGGAGGAGAGGAAATATTTATGAAGCTGACTTAATTATCGTGAATAAAACATGAAGCGACAAGTGGTGCCCACCAGGCTGATTGGGATGTTTTTTCAAGTCCCAGTCAACAAAATCATTTATACCCGTTTAGAAACCAGAGCTTCCCAGAAAAAAAGTCCCCCCCCCAGGTCCTCTGTCTAGGGGTTGGATCCTGAAAGGCTCTCATGTTCCCCTGTCTCCTCTGTGATTTGAGACAAAGTGTGGTTACTTTTCTTAAGGGTAAGGCTCCTGGGACAGTTGCAAGATCTGGGTATTTGGCCAAGACCCGCTTGGTGTGTGTGCGTGTGTGTGTGTGTGTGGGGGGGGGGGCATGGTGAAGAACAGTGTCCTTGTCTCCAGCTTGATAACTTTGCCCAGACGAATGTTGCAAATCCTGGCAGTCCTACATCTCCATGGCTTCAGTGTGGGGGGTGAGTATTTTGATGGCTGCAAGGGAGCCTCAGTTACGGGGACCCTGGCTCTGAAAGGCACAGGCTATCGGACCCTGGGGCACTGCATATGGCCTCCCTTTTCAAACCTCAAGAGCAGCATATGTCAGGCCTGGAGGTTTCTCTCTACTTCTCTCCATTCCCTAGCGTCTCTCTGCAGCCTAAATGTGGAAAACACCATGTTCTTCTGAGGCCAAAGTCCATAAAAGCCCAGAACTCCGTCTCCGGGACGGCGGGGCGCCAGGAATTTGTTTTGCGATTATTTCTGGATGCTTGCTAAATGTGCAGATTGCTAAATCGTGAAATTATTCTGAGCAGAACGTGAACAAGGCCTCAAATCCCCCTGCCATTTGTGTTTGTAGGACCTGCTGGCAGCACGGAGCATTCCGGAGGGGATGAACTGGGATCGGATTTCTGTGTCAGTGTATCAGACTGACGGTGGCTCTGTGACTCAGTGACAGAATGGCTCGCGGTTTGTCTTTCGATCATGGTGGTGGTTGGGGTGGGGGGGATGTAGGAGGATCAGAGAAATTTCCCCCGGGGTCCTTTGTGCCTGACAAAGTGACAACCCCTTGACAGGAAGGGCTCAATTTCAGGTAAGCTACGAGGGGTCAAAATAACCTACACTTCTGTAAACCGCAATTGGCCTGAAATTCCAACAGGGGGAGACAGTGAGCAGGTACCATAGGCGATTGTGGTGGGTTTGTGAAACGAAAATGTATCCCTCGCTCGATATTACCCAAGGATGACCTCGACGCTGAGTAAAGATGGGGTTACTTAAGCTAACAGGGCATGGAGCAGATATCCTTAGCTCAATTAATGTTCAGATTATTCCGGTAAATGTCTTTAGAGTGGGGTGCAGGATAGATGCCCTTTCTGGGAAAGCCTGGTCACTCTAATTGGTTGAGTTTTGCATGTTATTAATTCATGAGAAGCCCATAATTGTGTGTTGAAGGGGTATCTAAGGCACCCACCTGTATCCACTCCTTGCTAGAGTCTTGGGACGGCGTCCAGGCGTTCTCGTCATAGTTGAGGCGGGAACGCTCTGGGGTCCAGTTGAGGCTGTACTGGGATGAGGCCACAATCTGGTCAGAGGCGATGTCGCCGGACTGCATCCCCAGTGGCTCCTTGCAGTCGAAGTCTGAAAAGCATTTGGGATTTTACGGGGGGCTACTGATACCAGGAGCAGAGCGCTGGTCCTAGCTGAAAGCTGATTGGTCCCTGGAGTGCCACTCCCCTGTCAATCACCGATTCAAAACATATCATTGGCTAATGATTAGGTTGGTCCCCCTGTATGAATTATGGCCCTTCTTATGGCACCGAACTTAAAAAAATCCTCAAATTGCCCCTCAGAGCTTCTCCCATCACAGCACATATGACACGGCTTCTGAGATCTGGGGATGGCATGGGGAAAACAGCCTCTATCTCCAGTTACCAAATCTGTGAGCGCTGAGGCGTGGAAGAGCTCCGCGAGTCTCACGTTCGGCACCAGGGGGCGCTTTGGCCAGGTGCCACATACACAAACACCCCAACTCACATGGGGGGGGGGTGTTCATCAGTGGTGCAAGAATGCGGGTTCGATTAGGCACAGCAGATGGGGTACCCATCTGTGTGAGCTCATGGCACACGGTGTCGAGTGGCAGTATGGGTGTCTCACACTCTGACAGCCTCCTGGTCTTTGGACCTGCACCGCCCTCCCCAAAAAGAAAAAGGTGGGGGGCCGGGGTGCTGGCTACACCTCTAATGGGATCTGCAGTCATGAAGACTCTTTGGGAATTTATTTATTTATTTCCGTCGCGAAAATCGGTCGTGCGGTGGCCTTAAAAGACCAGCTGTGGCATGGGTCGGTGCGTCTGGAGGGAAAAAAACTGGCATTAAGTGAGAAAGACAACTTGTCAAAAATGAGGCGAGCTGTTTTTAAAATTAATGAACTTCGACTAAGGCGTTGGAGGAAAGTTCACACAAAGCAGCCAAATAACAGTATAAAAGAAAAAGAAAAAACAGCAATGTGGAATAAAGAACCTGGCAGTGTAGATTATGTGTGTTCTGGCCGGTGTTATGGGATTTTGAAGTGAAGGAAATTACTGACAGGCCCATAACTGACATTACTGACAGGCCCGTAACTGACATTACTGACAGGCCCGTAACTGACATTACTGGCAGGCCCAATAACTGACATTACTGGCAGGCCCCATAACTGACATTATTGACAGGCCCATAACTGACATTACTGGCAGGCCCCATAACTGACATTACTGACAGGCCCGTAACTGACATAACTGACAGGCCCCATAACTGACATTACTGGCAGGCCCGTAACTGACATTACTGACAGGCCCGTAACTGACATTACTGGCAGGCCCGTAACTGACATTACTGACAGGCCCGTAACTGACATTACTGGCAGGCCTCATAACTGACATTACTGACAGGCCCCATAACTGACATTACTGATAGGCCCGTAACTGACATTACTGGGAGGCCCGTAACTGACATTACTGACAGGCCCCATAACTGACAATACTGACAGGCCTGTAACTGACATTACTGGCAGGCCTGTAACTGACATTACTGGCAGGCCTGTAACTGACATTACTGGCAGGCCCGTAACTGACATTACTGACAGGCCCCATAACTGACATTACTAACAGGCTCGAGTTGTGTTTAGTGGCAACATGACATCTTCTCAATGTGTCAGGCTCAGCTGGGAGAGCTGATGATGAGGGTCACTGTCACCGCTCTAAAAATAATAATAGTACTACTACTACTTAAGAAACACAGGCGAATTAATCCCAGTGGGTGTCTTTGACCATCTGGGATAATTAAAGCTTTATTTAATGCCCGTTGATCCTGATGCCAAGCAAAAAAGTGGAAGTTGTGGACAGTTCCACCGTTCGCCAGGGATGTTTTTCAAATTAGGGTTTGTGGGAGCAGGGGATTTCAAGTCTATGAAAGTCTGTATTAAAAAAAACACTGTCTGGGAACAGTCTGGGCAATCTGATCTTTCTGGGATTTTACGCGTCAGAGATCCAACAGAATCAACTCGTGGCCCAGTAAAGAGGAGTCCTCTTCAGCAAGATTCACTCTGTCCATTCCTGTCCCCCATCACCCCACCGAATACAGTGACCTGTTAAGTAAACATACCTCCGTGTCCACTGGGACCCCCCCCCTCCCAACATGTAGCTCCAGCTGAAGGAGAGCTCACCTTCTGGCACAGTCCTCTCCATGACGGTGAAGTTGGCGAAGAAGCCCTCCTTGGCGATGGCGTTGTCTGTGTTGATCGTCAGGGCCAGGATGCCGGTGTAGGAGATGATGCGGCCCGGTGTGTTCTGACCGCAGTAGCGGCCGATGTGTGGACCCACTGTGCAGACATTGTTATGTTTTACTTGTTTAGCAGACGCTAAATAAAGTGACCTGCATTTTTGAGGAACCAGGGTCAGACAGTCCCTGGGGCATTTCGAGATTAAGGGCCTTGCTCAATGACCAGCGATCTTCTCATCATGCCAACTCCTCTCAACATGCTACACACTGCGTGTTGAGAGTTAGCCTGGGTGAGCAGGCAAGTATCTTAGCATCTCAGTGCCTATTTAGCACACCCATAGATACTGAGTATTACAACACACTCATATGAAGTGCCTTGGGGCAACTCTGTCGTGAAAGGTGCTATATAAAAACAAACTGAATTGAATTAAAGTCCACAGGAAGCCAATAAGAATATGGTTTTGCGAGGAATGTTCCCCATTTGCAAGGGAAGCCAACAGGCGGCCAGGTCCCACACCAGAAGAAAGCTTTTCCCTGAGAGGTTTATCTGATAGTTCTTCAGTCATAAAGGGTGTTTGTGACTGGCACCAGTTGGAAAGGTCTTGGAAAAAAGTACCCAGATTAATCCAAAGGTCAGTTAACAACGGTTAACATGGAGGAAGGTGAGGAACACCGATGCCTCCTGCTGGCCAGACTGAGCGCACACTTACAGGAAGGTGGCGGGGGGTGGGGGGTTCTCGCTTATCTCTGATTTGGGCTTCTGTGATCTCCCATGGGTGACCCCCCCCCACCCCCATGTAGGAAATGTCATTTGCGGGCGCTGAGCGGAGATGAAAGAGAGGGTGCTAATTTACTGGGGAGGTAGGTGTAACTTCTGATAGCAGAGGGTGATGTTCATAGATGTTCACAGAGCAGCAGGGATGGGGGAGGTAAGGTATTTAGAGGCCGGGGCAGGGTAACAGAGTCCGGAGGGAGGGAGGTCCTGGACTGTGCATGGCTATATTGGGGATGTTACACCCTCCCTGTCGAGTTCATCTCCTGTTAGCCAGGATTTTCCTCCCAGCTTCAGTGCTCTAAGCCCCACATGGGTGGGTGGGGAGAAGGGGTGCTGCTGGGGAAGGTTTCACAGCTGCCACAGCTGCCCCCCCACGTGCTGAGCGTGGCCGTCGCCTTAACATCGCTTTTCAGGCCTTGAAGCCGCCCCGCACCATCACGTCCTGCTCCTCCCAGAAAGCTTGCCCGCCAGACACAGGGACATGCTCCTTTCTGCTGCCTCCTCGCAAGCAAAGAAGGAGCCTCAAACTTCAGAACTTCACTCTGCTCCAAGACCCTAGAGCCGAGGTCTCCTGCTCTTGATGACTCTGTACCCCGAGACTAAAATAAAAGGTGATAATTAAGTGGCATGAGCGCGACTCCTCATGGCGTTCGCCGTCTTTTAATTAACACCTGTTCTCCTTATCGGATTCGAAAGGATTTTTCTGAATCTGACTTATAAATAAACTATTGTTGGATGTGCCTGCCAAATTGGGCCGCTCCACTTTCCCATAGCGGCTCAGACACACCTGGCTGCTCTGAAACTCTTCCAGACGATCGGATAGCTCGTTAAAATTCACACCCAATGCAGATGCGCGGAAAACAAAGACACTGTTATGAGCCGGGAAGAAATGAGACCCTTGGCTCAACTGCTAGCTGCTCCTTCTTGGCCTGCAGACTGCAGAGTGACGGGCAGCCTGGGGGAACCTTGCAGAAAAAAGAAAGATGAGGCTCTACGGCCGGCGAGAGGGAAGGTGTTACTGCGTCCTGTCAACCGCTGGCTGGTTTGGCCCAAAGCTAAATGATACTACTACTATTATTATTATTATAACTTCTGATTTTTTATTTTATTTGTTCTATTTCTTTAATGTCTGGTTCTGTGTCTGTGCAGCACTGCTCTACGTGCCTCAAATTGTCCCTCTGGGACAAATAAAGTTTTTTGATTTGATTTGAAACAGTATCCAGAATGATGTGAGTTTCCATGACTGGCAACGGGACCTGCACGACCCTTACACATCACGATGTCAGAAGCACATGGATGTTCATTCTGTTTCTACTCTTCCGTCCTGGTGGCCCAGAGTTCTCCGACCCGACCGAAGCACAGGGAGACGCACCTGGGCCCAAGTGTGCTTCAGGGGCCCAGAAAGCAGCTGCATGCCTATGAGCTGAGGTCAGCAAGCAAAGGCCCCAGGTCGCCCAGCCCACTTTCGGGATGTGTGGGGCCCCCAGAGAGCACCACAGGCCCCGGGGCCCGGCCCAGCTATGTCTGGACCTCTCTGCTTTGACGCCACGCTAGTGCTGCTGTTAAGGAAGCCTTTGAGAGCCCAGATAAAGCCAAGCTTTCTGGGTCATGAGCTTCCTATCATTCTTAATGGGGGGGGGGGAATCAATCAGGGGAATAATTTGTCAGGATGAGAGTGGAGAAAGATCGAGGTTTGGAAAAACTGGATAATAAACCAGCAGCCCGCAGATGCACGGACGCCGGGTGACTGGCACGGCGCCTCTCCCTCCTTGCCTCCATACCCCATGTTCGCACCGACTGCTGCCCCCCCCCCCAACCAATCAAAGTCATTATTTTCCTCGGAAATCTGCAGGTGGGTTTGTAACACCATGAGGCCTCACTCTGTCCTTCTGCACCACAGTGGGTATCTCACCGGCTGTTTTGCTGACGCGGAAAACACAGAGCCCTCGAGATGTGAGGGATGTATGAGCAAGGCAGCCTGCTTGCTGATCATGTGAGCTCTAACAGCAAGCCCACCAATCCCAGTCCAGGACACAGCCTGCATCAGGGAGAGACCAGGGGGGTGCTGTGTGGCTCCGAGGGTTAGAATGCTGTGCCTACAGTAGATCTGGAAGGTTTCACTGTTGGGGCCTCGATCACAGCCCTTAACCCCCAATTGCTCAGGGACTGTTTCTATTGCTTTGAATAAATGCATCAGCTGAATAAAATGTAAATATAGGGTAAATGAGCCACAGATGATATTAACGATTCTGCTGTGTATTGTGGTGTAACACCTCTGTAAAGAACATGCCGACACACCTCCAGGGAAACCATCCCAGATCTCCAGCCTGTCGTAGCGGCAGAAAACCCCGGCAGGTGGCTTGGTATCGGCTTCCATCTCGAAGCTCTCGAACTCCAGCACAATCTCGGACATCTTGGGAGCGAAGATCATGAAGGTGCAATCCAGGTTGTTGGGATACTTCTCAGGGAAGCCCGGGGACTTGATGACACCACTGGTGGAGCTGAAGTTCTTGGAACATTCGGGCCCTGGAAAGAGAGCAGACAGCACATCAGGGATTCAGAACATTCAATGCCACCCCCTCAACTTTCACACCATGAAGCTTGAAATGATTCCCTTTAACCCAAGGTGACATTTATCTCTCACAAATAACTAATATACAGCCAGAAATTCACTCATACAATTTCCAGGCTCGAAGGTACAACTGCAAACCCTTTCTGGGACTGGATCCTACAACCCGATAGATACAGGTGAGTGTATGACTACAAAAAGGGCAACAAAGTATGAATAAAGGGAGGTGATTCATGTGCTGATTTTCTTCTCCCTCAGTCATCCTCTGAAGGCAATGATCTTCTGCTGTCTACATCTCAAGCCACATCACATTGACACAAGCAGCACAACACCCCCAGTGGGCCTCAACCACCCCGTGCGGGGCCGCCCCACCATAGGGTCTGACTTTCTGACCCCCAGACTCAGCCTGTCATTACGCCCGTGTACAGCAATGACAGAGACTCCTAGAGAGCGACAGCCGCAGAGATGCAGGACCAGTGGCTGTGGCTGAAGCTCTCCGTTTAACACCATCAAAGAACCAAGCGTCTTTAAAGGGAACTTCTCCTCGGCCTAAGTGCTATGGATGGACTTCAAGGGCAAAATCGAATTCATTTGATTGAAATGAAGTGGTCTGTATTATATCTGTTTACAGCACTCCGTGCATATCCATAGTAAACATATTAACACTTTAAAACATCCGCTGAATATTCGATTCACTGGCAGATAACGACGCCGGCAATGTCGGCAGTTTGCCTTAATCGGCAATAACGGCATGGTTGCCACGACCACAGTTACCTGGGAGACTGAACTATAAGTTTGAATGTTTAACTTCCACAGCATTTTATTGCCTCTCTTAAGTCGTTATATTGAACTGCAGGACTCTGAACTGCCTCAGGAACCAAATAAATAAATAAATTATATATATATATATATATACTGTATATATATATATATACTCGTGCAAATGGCAAATAACTCATTTCATCATTACATATAATTTCAATTCAGATGGGACTTCAGTGTGAGATTTCAGTATTTGCAGTCATCCAGTTCTCTCAGAAGAATTTCTTGAACCCCATTTACCCAAAGGAACAACAGATACGAAGCAGGAAAAATATTTCGCATTTCTGTTTTTGCATGCTTATATTAATCCTATGGCAGCCATTTCTGTGCTTTTCTCACAAATCCATGTGAAATTCTCGCGCTCCATGCCAAGTGGCGAAAGCCCGCCGTGGTCTTTAAGGATGGCCTAAATCGTCAAGTGGGGAAGAGCCTCCGCCCGGCCACGGCTGGCTAATCAGCCCGGACCCCGGTGGGCTCCCTTATCGAGCTCTCCGCGGCTGCTCCTTGCGCCGGGGCCGTCCCTTGCTTTCTCACCATCTCCGCAGAGTGTTTTGTCTCTGTGTGGCTGTGGTATTTACGAGCCGGGCCCCCGCCATGGGGTCACACGCCGGCTGTTTACACACATCTGCCGCGTTCGCAGAAACTGTTACAACACTGATTAGAAACATTCCTTCCCTTCCTTGCTTTTCCCCTCCACTCTCTCTCTCTCGGTCTCCCTCGCACAGCTTATTGTTTTCGTCCCGTCTAAAGGAATAAGGTGGCTATCACCGTTCTGGCCATAAAGCGACTGTCAGGGCCTGTAAACAAATCTGTGAGGTTACTGGAGGGATAATAAGCTTTCCCAGAATGCTCCTGTCCCAGCATGCCCTGCTCTCCCAGCATGCCCTGCTCTCCCAGCATGCCCTGCTCTCTCAGCATGCCCTGCTCTGCATCTCCTGTGGCTTTACCTCCTAAATTTGCCCTCATGCTGCTAACTTTGGTACCATTGGGTCCATAAACTGGAAAACTGAATATAGACTCTCTCTCTCTCTCTCGTTCTCTCTCTGCTTGAGCTATAAAAAGTGACAGATCTGAAAACTGACTTGACTTATCAGTCATCTGCTGCAGGACCAGCGACCCGCTGCTATGGGTTTCACTGACCAGCATGTGTTGTGGGGTGTCTTATCTGCCTACCCATTGGCTTATCCCCCCCCTGCACTGATCAAACTCGCCCATTTACATTTTAATGTGGCAGATAACACCCTGGATAACTTCAGCCAGGCTTGCAGGATCATAATTCCCGCAACTGACTTTCACATTTAACTATAAAGTCAGACACACATAAACCACCCAGCTCTGTAACCCGCTTCCTGACTTGTTTTTGTACTTTGTTTTTATTACAATCAGATCCCAAGTTGACGTGTTTGTCGTTCTTTCGAAACGGAATGACCCGCGGTCTTTTTCGGAGACTAATGGACTTCCTGTCTCTGTCATCCAGACTGCGACCCCCCCCCCCATCTTAGGTGTTATTCTAAGGCTGAAGTGATTGTGAGACTGGTTTATTTTTATTGAGCTTGTAGGCTGGTAATTGGAAGAACCCTCTGGACCCGGCTGGGGTACGGAGTTAATAGTGGATGGAGAATGGGAATGAGCAGAGGCATCAGACCAGGGCACAGTTAACTGTGGCCACTAATGTGTGCTGAATATGCCGACTGTGCTGGATGCGAATACCACCACCCCCCCCCCCCCACGCTAAATCGCCACAGTGTCCACCAGCTCTTAACGAAAGAGATGACACTGAAAATGGATGAGGGTCCTTGGCCTCAAAGAGAGAGTTTGCGTCTCGCATTTCGCTTCCTGGGCCAGATGTGACCCTCACTGCCCGCGGACGCAGCCTGAGAATGCCAGGAGTGCCGAGCAACCCATGGGCCGGGGATGAGGGCAGCCTGTCCCAGCCGTGTTGACACAGGTGTTGCCGTAAAGTGCACAGCCACAGCGGAGATGATAAATGTCCCTAATAGATGAGAAGTTGATGACGAGGGGTGGGGGGGAGCTGGTGACAGAGCCCGGCCCTACATGCTGTCATTTCAGTGGGGTTTCTGTCCACATCAAATAAGCCTGGGCCCTGTTTGATGTGGCTGAACACATTTTGGAGTTCCCTGGCCACGTGATACTGGTTTGGGGAGTGGCACACGGAGCAGAGCCAGATCTTGGGGTAAATATAGACCAGCCTGCTTAGAGAGACGCCCTGTTTGCGTTTCACAGCACTGCGGGCGTTGAGAACCAGGAGACTGCATGTGGGGCCCCCTTGTGGCAGGGATGATTTTAAGATTTTTAAAGGTGCACCCTGGAGACCAATCAACTTTCAGCTGGGTCCAGTGCCCCTGTGGTCCCACTCCTGTATACGCCCCTGCCTAAGCTGGTTACGAGTCTCACGTGTTTACCAGCGCTGGGATCCATGTGCAATGCCCAACTCGTCATAAGCTCCTCAGAGGGAAAAGCTCATATATTCCTGCAGGATTCTCCCAGGCTCTTGAGTCAGCCCAGTGAGGGAGGTAATTTGTCGCCCATCGAATAAACCACCACGCTAATTTGGAAGCAGGGACATAAAAACAAGCCCATCATTTGAGGAGCAATGGCGAAGAGCATAGTATAACGAGATCTCCGCCAATTAAGCTGCAACCCGCGCTGATGGTCCCCCGTGCTGTTCGTCCACACTCTGGGTCCCAAAGTACCGTGTACGGTTCCCCAGCGGAGGCGGTGTCCATCAGAAACCTGCAAACGTGGTACGGAGCGATAGAAAAGACGAGAGGAAGCCGACGAGGACGCAGAAAAACACCTGAAATAACACGCTCGTTAATTTGGTCCTCGACCGTCAGCAGCAATGACTCGGTGTCAGAAAACATTTTCCACTCTCTGCCGGCACCTCTGGCCAGACTCTGCTAGGGTATTCTGTCTGGAATATTACAAAATTCACACGTGAAAGAAAAAATATTTACGTACAAAAAGATGCTCATCATACAGAGTAGCAGCCCAACCCGCATTTTGGGTATGAGTTACGCAGGGACTGGGCCTGCCGCCAATCTCTCGGCAGGAACATAAATGTGGGCCTGATACCAATATCCCACCTCCCCCCCTTTTGCTCCCTCTGCCCCAGATCTCTGCTGCCACATCAATCTCGTCCAGGGCGGGTGCATCAGCAAGCCATCAGGGTGAGAGGCAATTAATCGGCGAGATGAAGTCTCCCGCACCTGTTCACCGGGAGAGCCAGGGGAGCCCAGAGGGAATGGGGGGGGGGGGGGGGGGGGTGCGTTAGCACCGAACACACTGACAGAAGCTACTCAACTCAGACATAAGTATGGGGGAGGGGTGTGTGTTCTACGATCTGAATCTGATAGAGGCGGGTCTAGCTTGCGGTACTAGGATACCCCATTGGACGGCTTAAGGGGTCACGTTTCTGGTTCGTCAACATCCGTACTGGGGAAGAATGAGCTCATTATCACAGCACGGAGATGTGCTGCCCCACTGGGGTGCACAGCGTCTGAATATGAACGAGGTTCCATCTTAACGAAAACCCAGGCAGGCAGTGACTGCCTTCGCCACCCTTCTGAAGGATGATGTCTTCCCGCTCCCTGCCTTGTCACGTGTAAGCAGCCCTCTCCGGAACCTTCTACTCCCGTCCGTTTTTTCGATATGAGAGGATCTGATTTCCAGTGCACCCCTAGCCTCCGCTCTTGAAGTTCAGAGGACAACCTATCCCTGTCTCTATAATTATAAGGCATCGGTCCATGACTGACTGACAGCTGGAGTGTAACAGCAAATAATGCATTTCTGGGAAAAGTTATCTTCTGTGGTGCAAAAATTAGCCAGCTCGCAAATGCAGTGATAATTATACAAAATTCTGTTACTAAGATCAGTGTCAATTTGGTGGCTTTGGAAGTGCTGCTTCATTAACCCCCCGTGATACCTTCAACATTAATACCCAGATTTGTATCCTGATGTCATGGAGGGTTTGTGTGGACTATGTGCACACGTTCCAGGTGCACATGTGGTAAGTACGTCACTTTCAACTTCCTTTTGACTGCATTGCACCACCAGCCCTTTTATGGTGCTTTAGAATATCGTCATGGCTACGTGTGTGATCACCGCAGTGATGAGCGAGAGGCCTACCAGTCTTGAAGATCTCGTAGCGGATGGAGAAGCCAGCCCCATGCGTCTCGTAGTCAGATACGAACTTGATGTACAGCTGGTTGCCAGCTGACACGATGGGCGAGGGTGCGATCTTGCCACAGTACTTGCCCACCAGCTGGCCGCTCTCATCCGCACCATCTCGCACCTCCACAAAGTCATACCTGAGGAGAGAGGTAGAGGGGGAAAAGGGGAGGGGCCACTGCCTTGTTAACCAATCAGCTTCAGAACCCTGGAACACGAGGCTGTACGCAACATAAACTAGATGTAATGATGTATTTTCATTCATTATTTAATATGGAGGCTGCATGTGTCCTCAGTAGGTTAGGATGTTGTGGCTTTGATCAGAAGGTCTCCCATTCAAGTCCAGAGTGATGTCACCACTGGGTTCTTCTGCAAGGCCCTTAACCCTCAATTGCTCCAGGGATTGCTGGACCCAGCTTTCTCAACAGTAGATCATTTTGCACATCATTTTGGCCAAAACAATCTCCTAAATGAATAAAATGTAAAAGGCCCACAACGCTGGAGAAGAAAGACCAGAAACTGGGAGAACAGCAGTACAACTTCTAAAATGTCTTCAGTATCATGTCACAGCTTCAGTGTCACAATCACTCAAAAATATAACTGCAGTATCTGTTTATAGGGACGCAGGGTCAGTATGGTTTATGGAACCCTCTGACCAAGTTCAGAACTCTTCAGCATGCACCACTAAACCAATATCCTGTTTTTTGCCGGAGGTGGGTTCTAATGATACTACCATTCCCTCTGAAGCAGAGAGAGCTGGGCACTGAGGGTATCCATGGTCAGCCTTTCAGGATTGGGAGGGGGGGGGGGCGGGTGCCGTCAAATTGTTCCACCGCTCCCTCGAATACGATAATGCAAGCGGGAAATGCCATGCCTGGGGAGGGCACAGGAGAGCGGACATCGTTGAGATGGGGCTCAGCGAGGAATCCAAGGGTCTTAGGTCAGCGATGCACAACCCCGACCCCTAAATCTATCCCTGTGGGCCTCTGCGGGGTCCCAGCACTGGGCCATCCATGAAAAAAAATCACGGAGAGGATTTTAGCCCTAATTTTAGCAGGATTTGAGCAGTTTTAGCCCTGAACCCAGTCAGCCTTGCTGCCTGGCCCTCCGTTTCCATGGCATTTAATCACCCATAGCGTTCATTTCCAGTGGATCCTGGAGAGACCTCGCTGGCGTGGGGGGCACTTTGTCTAATGGACTCCTGCGCAAACATTAATATCTATTCCCAAATCTCTTTCTGTCCGTCCCTTTAATTACCAATCATCTCCAAGCAAATACACAACACAGCCAGGCCCTTAAAGGCAAGGACACTTTCTCTGTTATATGTTTAACCATACTAGTGGAAATTCCCCCAGCCTATGCAAAATATACTGAGGCAGTATTTCTTAGTGGTGCCATGAGATGGCCTTGTTCTCCAAAGTCTGACAGGAAAGCTTGAGTCCTACACACAGCTGCATGCCCTGGCTAAAACACGGGCTGATGGAATTAACGGATAGCCGAATATGGCGCATGAAAAAGGGAGGGGGGCAAAGCTCTGTGCGGGTCCACCATCACACCCCCTCCCAGTCGGGAAACGGTTCCTTGAACCCAAAACAAATTAAAGGGGGAGGACAGCGAAACATTAACAACGTTAACAGAGAGGCTCACTGTTTGGGGGTTTGGGATGGCGGAGAGCGGAGATTAAATGGAAAATGCGAGAAGGGGGGGTGGATAGGGTGGGGGCTCATTTCTCACTGCTGAAATTGGGCTCCCGTAGGACGCGTAATGCTCAGGATGACTTCACCCAGCTGCAGCAGTCCGCTTTATTGGAAGCAATATCAGGCCATCACTCACGTGCCATGGCTCTCCCAGGTCACCAGGCTCCGGCTGATGGACTCGGGGTGGCCTGGGGTGGGGGGGGCGCACTGCCAGAGCTGCGCCTGCTGTAATGCACCCCCCACCCTTTTTATTCCTCAGAGGCGTGACCTCCTGGGACGGACTCTTTGTTGCAGGGAAACCTGTTCAATTAGCAGGATTGTCTGGGCTTGGTGCGGCGAGGCGTTTCCGGCACCACTGGGTCCCCTCTGTGGCCGCCTGACAGGGGGCGGGGGACGTTTCAGCTTCTTCTGTGACACCCAGCCCCCCTCCCTCCAGGAGAGGCAGTGTCAATATCGCCGGCGTGTCAATGCCACAATCAAGCAGCCATCTCAGAGTAAGTGGATCGCGGCACCACTGTTGCTTGCAGTCAGTCACGTCAGACTTGCATTTCCCAGCCAGTGGAGCAGGAGAGCGTGTCCCTGCTCCATATTTCCAGCTCCCCAGTGTTTCGGCCGCTCCCATTCCGTCTGCGCCAACATTGTGTGGCACGGTAACATTATTATATCCCGATACACGCAACTTCATGGTTTTACCTTTCCACAAATGGTGCGTTTTAACCGGGTTGGCACAGGAGAGGTGCTCTGAGCTAAGGAGCACAAAGGAGCCTCCCCTGATGGCACCAGTGCCAGAACCTGGAACCCTAAGGTTAAGTGCTCATCCTTAACTACCACGCACCCTGCTGCGCTGCAAATAGTCTCCAGGGTAACAGGAAACAGCAGGCGTTCGGTCCACACAGGACGCTCCCTGAGATGCCGACTCGGCGTGTGGCCCCGTCCTTTACAGCTAGATCTGCGTGTTGGGATGCTGGAGGAGTGACCCGTACAGCATCAGAATGAGACCATGCCAGAGGGGTCCCAGTGACGGAAAGTTACCTCCTCACCTTTCCTGGCAGTTTTTTTTCTGCTTCATAATTGCGTCATAAATCTCTGTTACATGCCTAACTCGTATCAACCCCGGAGAGGGTGATTCTGTCAACTTTTTTAAGGAGGATAATCAAGCATGGGACCACCCCCCCCCCACCCCAGAGAGACAGACTAGTAAACTAACTTTTGCAGACTAGCATTAGCGCCTCCTTGGGCTAAGCGCCGCCCCAGCGTCTGGATGGCATCACAGGATTGTCCCGCTGCCCAGTTGCCTCCTCACTCCCGCCTTAACCTGTGTAAGGGGTTCGGGGGGGTGGGGGCTTGAGATACCAGCTGTTTTCACTGTTTAAATTCATTACTAATCCATTAAGACAACCACCTGCAGATTAATCCTGCCCAGAGCACTTGATGGAGTTGGGGCTGAGGATTATAATGAGGGCTTCAGTCACCCCATCCTGGAGACAGGGCAGTGGAAGGAGGAGCCACACTCATCCCGAATGCCATTCGCATTCCCTGCAGCTGCCAGATCCCCCCCACTTCCCCACCGAGCCGAATCCCAAATCCACCACTTTCCGCCAACCCCCCCATCCGGATTCGGCAGTGCAGATCTTGGGGCGTCTCCATCACTGTGGCACTGTGACACTGTGACACGGCACGCGGGCCCATCTGCTTGGGGGCTCTCCCGGGCCGCCCTCACGCCTGGCAGCCCCTGCTGTAGCTGCGTCCAGAACGGTAATGGGGAGGCGGTGGGGGGGGAGGGGGAGGCGGCTGGGGGGAACGAGAGGCAATCCAAAACGGAAAGACTGGAAAAATCTGGAGAACTGTAACTCACTGTAATGCTTTTTATGTGCACATTTCTGGGGGGAAATGCAGCACTACCAGAACCAGCAAACCAGATTCTGCCCATTTTACTGTAATTGGGGCCTTCTCTTCTGTCTTCTCCTGATGTACCATACATCCGGCCATTTAGATCACTATCTGCAGCTATCTACATAAGTGGGAACCATTTGCGCAATTGGCCAATGACATTTCATCACTCACGCCTCTAATTCGACATTTCCGTATGCCTCGGCCTTGGCTATGGGGGTGGTCCGGTCCTCACAGGTAAGACTCCTCATAAACTCTCACTGTGCACTGAAGCAAAGCACGACTAAGCCATTTAACTGGCAGAAACAGACCTCACGGTGTCTCTGATATCCCGGAGGGGAAGGGGCAGTATTGACAAAACCCAGGACTTTTTCTGTCAGTGTCTGACATTTATTGCCACTTGGGACATTTATAAAAAAAGTACTCTGGGCCCTACAGTCCGACTCAGGTTAGTAATTACTGTTCACCAGCTACCCCAGTGAACAAGAACAACCCAGAGCTGATGTGAAATGCAGACATGATACATCCAGAACAGCGACTCTCTGCCAAGGCCCTCTGAGCGCTTCTCCTACTTGGTATCACATCCCGACGGCCTCCATGTACGGTCGCACCCTCAGCAGAGGATCGCAGCTGAACTCTGCCCACAATGTTCCACCCCGCACAGCTGGGTGTAGTTACCATGCTGGCTGTTTGGGCTCCATCGCAGCCCGGCGCGTGCCTCTGCATGGGGTCATTATCATTAGCGCTGATGGATCTGCACAACTCAATCCATTAGACCGCTAATTACGCTGCTGACAGATCTGCGATCTGAACAATCGCATTAAATGAGCGTGCAGGCCCAGTTGCGGCATTTCATTCTATGTACACACAATAATCCCTTATTAAGAAATATGAGAGTGGCAGGGTGAGGGCTTGCCTGGGGTCCTAGTGTCATGGGGGGGCCTGCTCAATGTCACCACGACTGACACGGAGGGAGAGGTCACGTGGACCAGGGGCTGCAGTGCCCCCTCCTGTTCATAAGAGATCCAGACCGTTAACAAAAATCTCATTGTCTCTGGCCCTTCTGCCTTCTGTAATCAAAGTCACAATGACCGCGGACCTTTTCTGTTCTGGTCTGTGAGTAACACTGCACTTCTGGTGTAAAACCTCTTCAGTATCATGTCACAGCTTCAGTGTCGCATCACAGCTTCAGCGTCGCATCACATCTTCAGTATTGCATCACAGTTTCAGTATTGAATCTCAGCTTCAGTTTCTTGTCACGGCTCATTGTGTCACACGTCAGTTCAATATAAAAGCTAATGAAGAAATGCTCCATAGTCACTGACGAAAACAGGACAGAACAGAGCCTTGTGACCGGAGGGTATCGTGAACGAAAGGATGAAGCGAGCAGCCAGTTCTGCCTTCCTGGGACCAGCCCCCTGCAGCTTGAAGCCAAACTGGCAGCCTTTGCTCTGAAAGTCAACCAGCCTTACTCCCGGACATCAGACTGACCTGTGGGAATGGCGGCACGCAGCTGCTGGACAAAACGCCGCCAGAGAGGCTTATGGGAAATC